GCTGATGGCCTAAAGAAATGCACAGAACACCTGGTATTTTTATGAAATCAGGATTTTGTTATTCAAAAGTACAGTACTACTCAAACAATCAACAAACCTATCTGCTCACAACTTCAAATGTAAATAATATTTCGTATGTGCACAATAAAATATTGGTGTCAAACTTAGACCGTTGCAATTTCATTGTTCATCGGCATATATACACACACACACACACACACACACAAAAATATATTTCATTCCTCGATAAATAGTTCACTGTGAAATGAGTAGCCTATTAGAGAAACTTGTAGAAATAAGCTGGTGACTATACAATCCACTTATGTAGCTCAAGCGTGAGGACAGCATTTTGAAAATCTTCCACCTTCAGGTATAGTCACCAACAAATGTTTCTTTAATAGGCAGTTGCCACCCATTTCACAGTCCACTTGATATTCTTTTAATTGTCTTTCTTGTAACATCATTAGCTACACTTAAATTATTCCAGCTGATAAAATATCATAATTAGCCAACATACGGCAAAATAACGAGAGCAGAAAGTAAAAAAGAGAAGCAGATTTCTAAACACTTAAGCTAGCTGTAAGAAAAAAAATAAAAAATACTGAAAAGTTCAAAAGAAAAATTGTGCCTGATCAACGTGTGTGTTACTTTACTTTTTATTTTGTTTGCCTAAATTTATAAATTTTTACTTACGTATTTTGATTATTAATTTCTATTACAATTTACTTTTCCTGTTTAGTTTACTGCGGTTATTCTGCCTAGTTTAATAATGTTTACTTATCTTTACATTTGTTTGTAGTTACGCACAAAGCTACACAAGGGCTATCTGTGCTCTGCCCACCATGGTATCGAAACCCGGTTTCAAGCCTATCTTTACATAAACTTAATTTTGATATTTTTAGCCTATGAACCAACAATGTTACTGATAACTTTTTTAAGCGTGTTACTGAACATTTTCTTAACTGTGTTAACTGAAACCTTCTTAACCTCGTTACTGAAATCTTTATTCTGTCACTAAAGATCTTCTTTCCATTAATTTATATAAATCACTGTAAATTAAGTTATAAAAAAACATCTACTTATTTCATGAAACAAGCAAAAAATTAATAATAAAAAATAAATTTGCACAGTATTCCCATATATCCAATCACATAATCGTAAGAATAGCTTTGACACAAACGCCCGTACCCAAATTATAAGAAACAACTTCCGGATAATTCCTAAGCAAGTTTTTAGCAGTTAGGAAAAAGCAACAAATTTTTAATGGCAATGTAGGTTTGAGATCTTTAAGGACTGCGTCTGCCTGTTGAAAGGAAACATTTTCACTTACCGATTTGACCTGCATGTCCTCTTCTTGCCAAACTCTTCTGTGACTTGAGTTAAAATAAACTTTACACTTACCGATTTGAGCTGCATGTCCTCTTCTTGCCAAACTCTTCTGTGACTTGAGTTAAAATAAACTTTACACTTACCAATTTGAGCTGCATGGCCTCTCCTTGCTAAGCTCTTTTGTCTCACTGCTTCTTTGATTCTGTCCACCTCATTCTGGTATCTAGAGGATAAGTGGGAATACATTAAACACTTTTCAACTGTACAAAAGAAGTTATCCTAATAAACAAAGTATACATTAAATGTTTTCTGTTCATTTGTTTTAAAACAATGTACATATGACACAAATATACTTCAAGACTTCCCATTGAGAAATATGCATTTCTTCCATTATCTGGATATGGTTACTTTCTAATCACGATAATTATTCAGTGACTTGACAAAGAGTGAACTTATTTTTCAAGTTAGCCCGAAATTAACCTAACAAGTACTTGAGTTTCTCCTTTAATTTTAGTCAAAATTCCTAACGTGTAAAGTTAAAATATTCATTGATTATTACTGAATCATATTATTTGGTAATGAAGTTTTCCAATATTGTTGAATATTAAAAAGTTTATTTAATAAACTGTAATTAGTTGATTTAATTATGAGTTTTCATTTATTGTGAAACTGTTCAAGAAACAGCTCCACATCATATGATGCCGAGATGAATTTTGTTCATTTTCGAAATAAATCTTTCCAGATCTGCCAAGATAAGATTGGAGTAGACTAAAAATATCTTAAATAATCATGGCTGTAAAATGTGCATAAACTATTCCCGCTTCTCAAAGGTTCATCCCCGAAGACAGCTCACTGTACAGTTAACACACAAGCATGAGCTGTTCCACAGACACAGATTACAGCTTATAGAAGGCCTAGCACAAACACGAGCTGTTCCACAGACACAGATTACAGCCTATAGAAGGCCTAGCACAAACATCGAGCTGTTACACAGACACAGATTACAGCCTATAGAAGGCCTAGCACAAACACGAG